AGTCACGTGTGGGGTTTTCATCGCCAAACCCGGAAGTGACGCACTACACTTCCGCTCACATTTTGTTGGCCCAGACTAGCCATATAGTCCCGCCTAACTTCAAGGGGGCTGGGAGATGTAGCGGGGGAAGTGGGGTTTTGGGCGAGCGTCTCTGCCACACCTCGTAGGGCACCTACAAGGCCACACGTGATGTGTCTTTCTGCCTCCCTCCCGAAGCTTTTCCCCAGATACCCACCTGGCTGACCTCTTCACCTCCTTCAGGCCTCCCGGATGAAACCTCTCCTGGCCACCCCATCTGAATTGCAGCCCACGCCCGTTCCTCTCCTTCACCATGCTGGCCTTCGCTTTTGCCAAGTCACCCATCACTTTTGCCAAGTCACCCGTCACTTTTGACATATCGAAGCATCTGTCTTTCCCTGCCATGCTGTCAGCTCCTTGAGGCCATTGGTCTGTGTCCGCTTTGCTTAATGACGGAGCCTAAGTTCATCTTAGAAGGCGCTTGATAAGTATTTGTCGAAGGGCTGAATTTTTAAAAATATTTGCCGCTTGCAAGGTCGTGGTAAAACCACCACGTCTGTGCCTTCTTAGTGGGGCTATAAATTGGTGCAATAACATTTTAAATAAACTTAATTTTGGAACAGCTTTAAATTCACAGGAAAGTTGTAAAAAAAAAAAAAAAAAACGGTCCAGAGTGTTCCCTGTGTACTCCTCTCTTTCTGTAAGGTGAACATCTTACGTGACACTCGCCAAAACAGAAACGGACGTTAACACATCGGCGTTAACTAAACCCAGAGTTAGTTTGATTTCACTGGTTTTCCCATTAACGTCCTTTTCCCTGTCCTGGACCCCATCCAGGGCACCCCATTGTGCTTGGCCATTCGTATTTTCCCTTTGGAGAAAGGGGCCCCACGTGCCACACCGGAGAGGCAGCTGAGCGGCTCCCAGCCCGGGCACGGGCGGATTCGCGTTGGTTGGCGAGGGTCCGGCTGACTTCTCCCTGGCCCCGGACACGGCCCTAGAGGGACCACGTGCCACTTGCCTCTCCCGCCTGGGCCCTCTGCCTTTCTGCTGCTGGTACAGATTCTCTGGAGGACATTAGGCCACGTGTAAAAAGGTCCCGTATAAAGTACTTACCCTCTGAAGTGGCGACCTCTAGAAATATAGTCCAAGGAAGTAAACACGGGCACGAAGCTTTGGATACAAGGACAAATCAGGACGGAATCTCTTTGAAGGACAAAACCCGGTGCCAAGGAGCTTCAGCAAGTAGGGGTTTGTTGGGGTACACCGAGTAGCACTCAAGGTTGTAAAGAGGGACATGACTTGACCGGGGAGAGGTGACACGCTGACCCCTCTGGGGGCTGCCAGTGCCAGAAGCCGGTGGCCATCTCCCCAGGGTCCTGCCAGCTGGTGACTCGGCTCCCTGGCTTCTGTTCCGGTGCCACCCTAATCCAAATTCCCAAGGCAGAGGGGGCAGGGGCCCAAGGTCTGGGCGGGGGAGGCCCATTCACCACCACGAACCCCACCGTCATGGGGAGCACCGCTCCCTGGAGGAAGACACCCCGAGAGACAGCCACCACGAACAGTTTGCAACACGGCATTCTTCTATGCATCAAAACTTAAATCGTTCAGTCGATCACGTTACAGCGGCCGGATTAAGTAAATTACGGCATATTCTATTTAATGTAAGAAAATGTGTATGATGGTAAATAGAGAAAGCAGGTTACGAAATAAGACGTATAGCGTGATTCTAATTACAGGTATGATTGGAAGGAAATACATCAGAGTGTTATAACTGGTTATCGTTTTGTGACGGCATCGTGAATTATTTTTACCTTTTGCCTTATACTTTATTTAAATATTTTCTAAATTTTCTGCAATGACTCCGTATCATAATCGGGAAAGAATAACTTCTTTAAAGTTCACGCTCTTTGGTCTAGTAATGTCTGTCCTAGCATTCTATCCTAAGGAGATAATTTAAAATGTAAATAAATCTTATACACAAAGATATCCACCACGGAATTCTCTGCAATAGTGACAATGAAAAACCACTTCGGTGTTGTAAGAATGTTTCATATATTAAATGTATGGGCTTTGTTACAGACATTAATGCTTTGGGGACATGTAAGGACACGGAAGAGTGTTTTTCATGGCTATGTGAATAAAGAGGACGTAACGTCGCACGTGCCGTGTGGTCTCGGCCACATCACCAGTCAGTCTCTTTAACTCGACAGTGCTCACCCTGGTGTCAGGTCACAAAAAGTACAAACTCTCGAACTGCCTAGTGACGGATGGCTTTTTTAAAATGTCAGTTTGGTATGGTCCGATATTTTCGTGGAATACAAAACAACCAGTTACTAGAAAAATGAAATGCAAAAGACTGAGAACATACAAACTCGATTTTTTTTTTTGGTTACTCGATTGAGGGTTAAAATGACGGGCAGCTGGCTGCACGTTTCTAGGGCTTGCTCCCAATGTCTGCAAGTACCTGGCAGCGGCCCCTCCTCCGCGCTGGCCCGGTGTGTGCTGGCTTTCTTCTGGGCGGGAGCAGCGTATGCTCCCCGTGCTACGAGCTGCCACAGACGCCCCGGCCATCGTCCCTCATCCACCCTCATCCAGGGAGAGGCTCTGGGGACGTTGCCGGCTCCGTCTGCGTGCTCACGTTAAAAAAAGTGATAACGGCTTTATCGAAATATAATTCACGTGCTGTGAAGCCCGCCCTTTTCAAGTGCACACCTGAGCGGTTTTACTGCGTTTACGGAGCCGCGCAGCTTGCACGGATCATTTTCACGCCCCGAAGGAGGCTCGTTGTCGTGCGCACCGCTCCCCCCACCCCCCAGCCTGGCCCGCTAACCTACTTTAGGTTCCTATGTGGGTTTTTTTCCTGTTCCGGGCATTTTATGTAAACGGAATCCTCCAGATGTGACCTTTTGTGTGTGGCTTTCACTTAGCAGGTTTTCAGACCCTTCCGTGTTGTAACGTGTCACTGCTTCCCTGCTCCTGATGGCCAAATACTATTCCGTTGTGCGGACAGGCGGCTTGTGGTTTCCCCGTCCATCGGCTGACGCACATTTGGACCATTTCCACCTTTTGGCTGTTGTGGATAACGAAGCTGCGAACATTTGTGGACGCAGGCTTTCCGTTTTCTGGGGTTGGTACCTAGGAGTGGAATCGCTGGGTCCCACGGTAACGCTGTCCTTCGGCGTTTTGTGGAGCTGCCGCCTGCTTCCCCAAGTGGCTCCACGACCTCCTGGCGACATCCGAGCTGTGCTCACTTCCGCCCTCACTCGCCGGTACCCGTCTGTCCCGGGTTAGCCATCCCAGAGGGGGCGAAGCAGCATTTCATGGCTTCGGTTGGCATTTGCTAGTGACTGACGATTGTGAGCACGTTTTCATCTGCTCATGAGCCGTTCGGGCACCTTCTGTGGAGAAACGGCCGTATCCGAATTCTTCGCGCATTTGATCGGGCCGTCTTCTTGGTTTCGAGTTGTGAGAGTTCTTTGCGCATCTTGGATTTGAGTCCCTCATCAGATACGTGGTTCGCGTTTCCTCCCATTCTGCCCGCCGTCTGTCCTCGGAGGGGCCCTCTGAAGCGTGAGTTTTTCACTCTGATCAACTCCAAGGTACCTACCTTTTTTTTCGTCGCTCGTGCTTCTCGGTGTCCTAAGAAACCATTGCCTAATCCAAAGTCATGTAATTTGCATCTGAGTTTTATAGTTGTAGCTCTCATGTTTATGCCTACGATCCGTTTTGATTAATTTATCGTGCTGAGGCCTGTGACCTGTATGAGTTTGCACATGGCGTGAGGCAGGGGTCCGGCACCGTCCTCTCCTGTGTGGCTATCCAGCTGGCCCAGCACCGTTCGGTGAGATTACCCTTTGCCCGTCGAATCGTCTCAGCACCCGGCACTTACGTTTTCTGTTACCGAATTGTCCTCTGAAGGGAGGCGGGGTATATACTCCCTCCCACGGGAGCCGAGTGCCCACATTGCAGGCTGGGAGAGGATGCCAAGGGGCTGAGGCTCCCCAGGGACCATCCCTGGGGGGGTGGGGGGGCGGCGCTGGAAGGAGAGGGGGCTGAGGGAGAGGAAATGTGTCTTTCAAAGAATAAGGCTGGGAACGGGAATTTGGGATGGGCGGGCTGCCCGGTCCCTACCAGCCGTGTGGCCTGGGGCAGTTGTCAGTTCCCACGGGTTCATCGAGTTAAACAAAGATGGTGACCACACGGCTTCGTAGAGGTGTCGTGAGGAGGGAATACCCCACCCCATGACAGGCCCTCCGTGTCGGCAGCTCTGGTGACATTCCCGTATGTGCCGCACGGGCCGAGGTCACGTGATTGTGGAGGGCCTCGTGGCGGGGTCTGCTGGAGTCATGCGGTGAGTGCGAGCGTTTTAATGATGACTGATCGTGTGTGGAAACTTGGATCCACTGGTATGTGTCACTGTCACCCAGAGCAAGGCGGTACTTGAAGTTTTTGCTGACATATTAAGGGGGGGAAGGAAGTGACTGAGATTGAATGTGACAGCAAGACGAATCCCGAATGACAGAATGGAACGGAGCGCAGGGAGGCAGGCTGCAGCAGGCCAGCTCGTGGGGACCTGACGGGCCGCTTCGGGGTTCGGAGGCCAGGGCAGGTGTCTGCCTGGTCCCCCTCCACGGACTTCCTGGGAGCAGGAGGGGTGGGGGACTGTGCCCCGGGGGAGGGGGTTCTGACTACGGCACAGAGCTGCGGCTCGAGCACCTTCGGGTGGTCGCCCAGGCTCGCGGACCCATGGGCAACGAGTGCCTGTCGGTGGGGCCGAACCGGGCTGGTGTCTCCTCCGCTTGGCTTTGGTCTGCAGAGCGGCTGACAGAAGCAGAACCGAAACCTAAGAACGCGTCCTCCTCTCTGCTCCGTCCCCCGGGGGAGGGGACAGGCGCAGAGGCCATATCACAGCGCACTGAGCCTCTGGGGCGGCCGGGGCTGCCTGCCCGCGGCAAAGGAAATGAGGGGTTAACAACAGATGTGGGGAACAGCTGCTTTTATTAAAACGAAACCAGAGGACGGCAGGGCTGGGACGTCGCAGACGCGGTGGCCAGACGGAGAGGTGGCAGGGACGAGGTGTGGCTCCACCCAGGCGGCCTGGGGGAGTCGCGCTATGGGGTGAGCCGGAGGGTGAAAGAGAGAAGGACCAGGCCGCTGTGCGTCCCTGTGGGGCCGCCACCCCGACCTCAGTGACTTTACGTACAAGGCACAAGAGACTGGCAAAGTATTCGTTTGAATAAGGAAATGAGAACTCTTTCTCTGAGCTCAAAAAGATGAGATAATTAAAACCATGATTAAGGCTGTGCAGTACCTGGGGGAGAATAAATGCTCTGTGACCCACACACAGAACAGACCACCGGCCGCAGGGGTCCCTGGGGGATGGCAGTGCCACAGCAAGCGCTGTCTGCCCTGTCCTGGGCAAGGGCGAGGGAGGGGCTGGGCTCCAGCAGGGCTGATGTAGTAGGGGTGGGGGTGGGCAACCTGGCCTCACCTTGGGGTCCACAGAGCAGGAAGGCGGAGGGAGGGGAGTCCGGCGGCAGAGCAGTGCATGCAATATTGGGGTGACCACGGGAGGGCAGCAGCGGACATAAGAGCAACTGCCTGCCCGGGCCGAGGGGCAGGGTTCTACCCCGCTTGGGTTCATACCCACCGGAAAACCGTGGGGTTTGGGGGACTTAAAAGCCACATAACCAGACTCTGGGTCAAAGCTGATTTTAGCCAATTGGAGACCCCCACCTGCGGCAAGACGGACAAGTCCCCCAGCTGGGGAAGGGGCCAGACCCCGGCCTGCCCAGCGTGAGGCCTGGGTGTCTACAGCGGACGAGAGCAGTGAGTCGGTGAAGCCTGGGCATTGAGAAAAGCCTGCAGCGAGGTGGGGGATGGGCACCGCCGTTGTCACCTCTGCCGCTGTCACCTCTGCAGGAACCTCTTGTTGAGGAGGAAGAGGAGGAGGTTGACATTGACCTTGGCCTTGTCGAAGAGTTTCATGACAGCGACCCCCTCGTACTGGAGCTGCAGGAGGTCCTAGGAGGAGGGAAGGGACAGGGAGCGGAGTCTGAGGGTCCCTCGCTGTGGCCCAGCCGTCCAGCGGCACCGGCCACGGTGGGGGGCACTGAGACCTCACTTGACCGACGCGGACACTGAGGCGGGGTAGGGTCCGGCGACGCGGCCCACGCCGGCTTCAGCAGAGCCGGGGCAGGCACGGCCCTGGCTTTCTCCTTCCCCAGGCGGAATTGCCGAAAGCTGCGGCTGGGAGCTTCTGCGTCCCTGCCGGCCTCTGAGGCGGGCTGCGCCCCAGCCTTCCCTCGGGGCCCGCAGGACCTTCATCCCGGGCTGTGGCGAGGGCTGTGGGCGCCACGGCGGGTCCCTCCCATGTCCACCCGCTTTCGACGTCGCTGCCTGGCAGCGGGTCTGCATCAGGGGACGGGGACAGGGACGGGGACGGGGACGGGGCCACACGGGGACGGACGGCGCTGACCGGGTGGGGGACGGCTGGGGCCACCTGTCGTCAGGCCAGTGCACTGAAGCCCAGCGGTGTCCTGGGCGTGTCCCCGCGCCCCCTCGCCCCCCGCGAGGCCGAGGACGCCCCCTCACCTGGTAGTGAAGCCGAAAGTGCTCCATGTCCACACCCAGGAACCTGGCGTGCACGTCGAACGTCCCCACCTCGCCTCCCGGCGCGATGTCGAAGACGACGTCTCTGAAGCTACGAGCAGCAGGATTGGGGACGGGGACAGTGCCCTCCTTCCGCCCACTCTCCCTGCCCGGCAGCGCCGCGCGCCCCCCGCAGCCTCCTGGTCTCACGTCCGCTCACCGCACACCTCCCGCCTGCGGGCCCAAGTCGGCCGCCCCCCACCCCTCCCCGGCAGCTTCCCCGGCGTCCTCCGCCTTGGGGTGCTTAGAGCCGTGCCAGACCACGCCTGCCGCCGGGCCCTCTGCCGCAGGTGTCCTGTCCCCGTCACCCCAACAGCTCTGGCAAGGCGGCGCCCACGCCTCTCCCCATCCCACGGGGCGGCCCAGGGACTCTGGCGCCCCACCCTGCCCGTGAGGACACGTACTGAGAGGTGGGCAGGCCTTCGATCCCTAGCAGCACCCCCTTGTCCAGGAGCTGGGCGGCCGTGTAGCGGAGGGCCGGCTGCTTCTTCCCTCTCCCGGAGCTCCTAAGGAAGGCCCAGAAAGTTCACCCAACAGACGCCACCACCACAGACACCGTCCCGTCTGCGGCTGGCGGGACGCGAGGGTGACGTCTCATGGTGGGGGACAGAGGACAGCTGCCCCCGAGGGAGGGAGGGCCAGGCTGTGCGGAGCGCGGGGTG